AGTGACAGGATGCAGGAGGGATTTGGACCCCTGCTTTTGTGACAAGATGGCTCCTACAGCGTTCTCCGAAGCATCAACTTCAAGGATGAAGGCCAGAGCAGGGTCTGAGTCTTTCAGGATGGGTGCGGTCGTGAACATGGTCTTCAACTGCTCAAAGGCTGTTTGGGCCTCAGAAGTCCATTTGAAGGGAACATGTTGCCTGGTGAGCTGTGTCACTGGTGCTAGGACTCCAGAGAAGTCCTTGATAAACTTCCTATAGATGTTCGCGAATCCTATAAAACGCTGCACTGCTTTCCTATCTTCAGGGATAGGCCATTCTAAGACGGCGGGCACCTTCTGAGAGTCCATAGAGATGCCTTCAGGAGTGATCACCAGCCCAAGAAACTGGATAGATTGTTTCTCGAACTCGCATTTTTCGGCTTTTGCGTAGAAGTGATGCTGGTGTAGTCTATCTAGTGTCTTCTTCACATGGTCACAATGACTTTCGATGGAACATGAAAAAACCAAGATGTTATCCAGATAAACGATCAAAAATAGGTCCAGGTAGTCTTGAAATACCAGGTGTTGGAAAGTTGTTGGGGCGTTACAAAGACCAAAAGGCATTACCAAATATTCAAAATGCCCGAATCTGGTTCGGAAGGCTGTCTTCCATTCGTCCCCTTCCCGAATTCTCACCAGATTGTAAGCGCCCCTCAGATTTAACTTGGAGAAAAAACATGCTCCTCGTAACCTTTGGAATAATTCAGGGATCAAAGGAAGGGCATAACGGTTTTTGACTGTGATTTTGTTCAAGTCCCGATAGTCTATACAGGGTCTCAAAGTGCCATCCTTCTTTTCTACAAAGAATATGCCGGCTCCTGCTGGTGAAGTAGATGGCCGAATGAACCCTTTTTCCAAGCTTTTGTCTATATACCCCCTGGAGAACTTTTAATTCGACTTCGGATAGAGGGTAAATTCTACCGAAAGGAATTTTGGCGCCAGGCAGGAGCTCAATTGGACAGTCATAGGGGCGATGCGGAGGAAGGGTGTTGGCACTCTTTTTGTTGAACACATCCAGATACTCGTGGTATGCCATAGGGACAAGCTTCATGGTTTCAAGATCAGAGTGGATACCGAGAAGAGGATTTGTCACACCTGTCTCCTTGAAAGTGCAGTGAGTCCGGCAATATTCCAAAGGGAAAGAGATCTCCCCAGACAATCAATTGATGGTTGGGTTATGTGCTTTTAGCCAAGGCATACCGAGGATAATTGGAAAAATCAGAGAGGTGATAATATCCAAACATAGGAATTCTTGGTGTCCTGAGAGAGAATAGCAAAATACTGGCACGGTTTCTTGTGTTACCGAGCCAGAACTGATACCAGACCCATCTGCCAGATGAACTGCAAGCCTTTGAGTTTTAGTGCAGAGGGGAATCTGATTCTGAGTAGCAAAATGAGAGTCCATAAAGCAGCTACAGGCACCTGAGTCGATAATGGCCGGGACCGTGATGGTCCTTTCAGCCAGCCGTAGTTGCAGACGGAAAGAGAGGTGCGTCCGGTTTGTTCCCTGAGGATGCATCATGTAGAAGCAGTTGGGAGAAGGTTTGTGAGGTTTAATCGGGCAGGTAGCCACAAAATGTCCTGCTTCACCACAATAGAGGCAGAGATTAGACTTCTGCCGTCGGAGGTGTTCTGCTGCGGTCTCCAAAAGCTCTTTCTAGCTGGATTGGTGGGCGATTCAGATGAGACAACATCTGTAGCGGGCCCAACTTCAGGGCATAACAGAAGTTTCCAACTAGTCTTTTTGTTCGACCTTTCCCGGATCCGGCAGTCAATATGGATTGTTAAGTCTATCAGACTCTCCAATCTTGTTGGTACCCCACTCGGGCCAGCTCATCCTTCAGGGTGTCAGAGAGACCAAGGCGGAACTGATAACGGAGAGCAGACTCGTTCCACTGAGTATCGGAGCTCCAGATACGGAAGTCCGTGACATAATCCTCCACAGGCCTTTGGCCTTGTTGTAGCTTACTGATCATAGATTGTGCAGTTTGGCGCCGGAAGGGATCTGCATAGATCTGTGCCATTTCTGAGAAGAAAGAATCCACAGAGGTTAGTGCCGGATCATGCTGTTCCCGAAGATGATATGCCCAGGACTGGGGTTTATTTCTAAGAAGGGTGATGACAAACCCCGCTTTAGTATTTGGTGAGGAGATGGTCCTGGGGAGTAGGGAAAAATATAACTCACAGGAGCTACGAAAAGTCCTGAACTTTTGGCGATCTCCTGTAAAGAACTCAGGCTAGGTACCCGGGGTTCCAGGAGGACAGAGATTTTAAAGGACATACTGGTCTCTGTTTGAGTAGCTGGACCAAAGGTTGCTGTGTCTGGGAGGACATTAGAATTGGTTTGCAGTTTATTCTCCAGGTGTTTGAAATTTCTTTGTAGTTCGTGTATCACGTTGAACAAAGAAGTCACAGCTTGGCGAATGTCCCCCAGTTGTGAGGCCTCCCTTTCAGACTCCATCATTGGTTGACTGGTACTGTCACATACCTGATGGGAGACTGAATTAACGAGGTCGGCCTCACTTGTGTCACTGTCTTGGAAATTCGCTTTAACGAATTTCTCCTTACCGTGAGTACTCGCAGTTGGATGCGCAGAAATCCCCCATAAAGCTGTGCGAATCTCGCTTACCACGACTGCAGCTTAGCCCCAAGATTCCTCCGCCTCCAACTGGGTTAGTGTCAGGAATGGACTGGCCAGCAATGGTGGGACTCACCTGCCTTTTGATCTGCAGTACCAGGGCTGGCCAGCGGGTGCTCCCAGCAATCAGAGACTCAACCTTTCAGCCAGCTAACACCTGGAACTGATTATACTGGTGTATTTAAGGGATGGCCAGACCTGCAGACTCTGCCTTGGTGTTGTGTTTGTCCTGGGCCCTGTATCTGTCCTGCATCCTGTTTCTGTTCCTTTGCTGACCCTGCCTGATCTGAACCGCTGCTGACTTCTCCTGCTCTGATCCCGGCTCGCTCCTGACCATCCCTCTGCCTGACCCTCTGTACCACGCTGCTTGCTACCTGTTCTGATCCCTGGCTTGTGACCCTGACCATCCCTCTGCCTGACCCTCTGTACTACGCTGCTTGCTACCTGCTGAACCTGGCCTGTGACCCCGACCAATCTCCGCTTGCTCCCCCTGTACCTACCTGCCCTATTGATATTGACCCGGCCTGCCTGACGACGCTTGTATGTACTGTTATCTGTGGGTGGTTGGTTTGGTTTGTTTGCACTGTATTATGTTTTAGTATTGCACTGCGTTTATGTTTGTATGGTTAGTGTTAATAAATTATATTGTTTATCACATATCTGAAGTCTGCGTTTCCCTGCGCCAGTCACACACCTCTGGTCACACCCGGGAGCCCTGACATTACACCAAGGCCAATCCTGACCAGAAGTGGCTGCACAGGGAAGCCATCTTGGTTTGTTGATGGGAAGGATGGATCTGGATGAGGTTGCGTATTTATATCTGCTAGTGTTTGATGACAGGGAGTATGCTTATCAAACTCTGAAGGAGTATCCCCGGGATGAACTGCTAGAATGTATACGGCTCGCTCATGTTCTAGTAGATCAGGGCACAGAGTTCTCTGAGGTGCAACCTTTGATTGAGGTTTGTGCTGAGTTGGTTTCATCTGGGTACCCCCGAATGCAGGGATGAATTTTTGCCACCATTTAGTGCAGACCAGGTAGAGTCCCTGGTGTGGTTATTAGAGGAAGATGTGGGTTACTTTCTGGAGCGTTATTCCACATGTTCACCACAGGTACTAAGAGATTGTATAAACGCAGTGCAGTCTTTGGTCAGACAGGCTTTGTGTAAGCTCAGCTTTGTTCAACCCATACTGCAGACATGGATAGACTTGTTGCACCCAGCCTCAGTCAGCTTACAAAGACCCAGTCCTGCTTCTAATCTATTTCCTCAAAACTCTATTCCTGCATTCCCAACAGCTCCTCCTCCTGCCCTGCTATCTACCGCATGTCAGTACCCTGTTCCCACTCGCTGCACCTATCCTGCCTTTAACCCTGTAAAAAAGCCCTCTGTAGCAACTGCTCCCTCTCCTGTTCCATCCTCCAGTTCTTCTCTGTCTCCAGCTGCTCCATTCGTTTGCAGACCTGCGTTTACTTGCAGTGCTCCAGTAGTTAAAACCAGAAAAAAGCGAAAATTCTTTCCAACCAGTACCATCCTGCCAGTATCCAAACCGGTGAACCTGCCTTCCGTGGTTCAGCCTGATGCCTCTACTCGGTCTGATGCCTCTACTCGGTCTGATGCCTCTACTCGGCCTGATGCCTGTACGCAGCCTGATGCCTGTACGCAGCCTGATGCCTCTCTTCAGCCTGAAGCCTCTACTCGGCCTGGTGCTCTACTCAGCCTGGTGCCTCTACTCAGCCTGGTGCCTCTACTCAGCCTGGTGCCTCCACTCAGCCTGATGATCCTATTAGGCCAGTGACTCGATACCCGCTGTTGATCCAGACGATCCGGTACCTGATCCAGTGCCCGCTGTCGTGCCAATTGACTCAGAGCCCGCTGTCGTACCTGGTGACTCTGTGCCCACTGCCTTGCCAGATGACGCGGTGCCCGCTGGCGAGCCAAATGACCTGATGCCTGGTGGCCCAGTGCCTGCTGTCATACCTGGTGACCCGATGCCCGCTGTCAAGCCAGACGATCCAATGCCTGGTGACCCGGTGCCTGCTGTCGTGCCAATTGACTCAGAGCCTGCTGTCGTACCTGGGGACTTGGTGCCCACTGCCTTGCTAGATGACGCGGTGCCCGCTGGCGAGCCAAATGACCTGATGCCTGGTGACCCAGTGCCCGCTGTCATACCTGGTGACCCAATGCCGCCGCTGTCGAGCCAGACAATCCGGTACCTGATGACCCGGTGCCCGCTGTCGTGCCTGTTGACTCGGAGCCCACTGCCTTGCCAGATGACGCGGTGCTCGCTGTCGAGCCAAATGACTTGATGCCTGGTGACCCGATGCCCGCTGTCCAGTCAGACGATCCAATGTCTGACCCAGTGCCCGCGGTCATACCAGTTGACTCGGAGCCCACTGCCTTGCCAGATGACGCGGTGCCCGCTGTCGAGCCAAATGACCTGATGCCTGGTGACCCAGTGCCCGCTGTCATACCTGGTGACCTGATGCCCGCTGTCGAGCCAGACGATCCAATGCCTGGTGACCCGGTGCCCACTGCCTTGCCAGATGACGCGGTGCCCGCTGGCAAGCCATATGACCTGATGCCTGGTGACCCAGTGCCCGCTGTCATGCCAGTTGACTCGGCGCCCACTGTCGTGCCTGGTGACTCGGTGCCCGCCGCTTCGCCTGGGGGCCCGAGACCTCTCGCTCCGCCTGGTGACTCGGTGCCCCGCCGCTCCGCCTGAGGGCCCGAGACCTGTCGCTCCGCCTGGGGGTCCGGCGCCCGCCGCTCCGCCTGAGGGCCCGAGACCCGTCGCTCCACCTGGGGGTCCGCGCCCGCCGCTCCGCTCCGCCTGAGGGCCCGAGACCTGTCGCTCCGCCTGGGGGTCCAGCGCCCGCCGCTCCGCCTAAGGGCCCGAGACCTGTCGCACCGCCTGGGGGTCCGTCGCCCGCCGCTCCGCCTGGGGGCCCGAGACCTGTGTCGCTCCGCCTGGGAGTCCGGCGGCCGCCTCTCCGCCTGGGGGCCCGATGCCTGCCGCCCCGCCTGGGGGCCTGGCGCCCGCCGCTCCACCTGGGGGGCCCGACGCCCGTCGCCCCGCCTGGGGGCCCAGTGCCCGTCGCCCCGCCTGGGGGCCCGGTGCCTGCTGCTCCGCCTGGTGGCTCGGTGCCTGCTGCTCCGCCTGGTGGCTCGGTGCCTGCTGCTCCGCCTGGTGGGCTCGGTGCCTGCTGCTCCGCCTGGTGGCTCGGTGCCTGCTGCTCCGCCTGGTAATCCGATGTGCCTCTGCCCGGAGTCCAGCCCGATGTGCCTCTGCCCGGAGTCCAGCCCGATGTGCCTGCCCTGCCCGGAGTCCAGCCCGATGTGCCTCTGCCCGGAGTCCAGCCCGATGTGCCTCTGCCCGAGTCCTCTGCCCGATGTGCCTCTGCCCGATGTGCCTCTGCCCGGAGTCCTGCCCGATGTCCTGATGTGCCTCTGCCCGGAGTCCAGCCCGATGTGCCTCTGCCCGGTGTGCCTCTGCCCGATGTGCCTCTGCCCGATGTGCCTCTGCCCGATGTGCCGCTGCCCGGAGTCCTGCCCGGTGTGCCAGTCTTTGATATCCCGCCAGTTACCAGACCCGGGCGGTGGAACATTTTGCCCAGCTCGGACTGTTTGGAGCGTCCTGAGGCCGCTCCTTGAGGGGGGGGGTACTGTCAGGAATGGACTGGCCAGCAATGGTGGGACTCACCTGCCTTTTGATCTGCAGTACCAGGGCTGGCCAGCGGGTGCTCCCAGCAATCAGAGACTCAACCTTTCAGCCAGCTAACACCTGGAACTGATTATACTGGTGTATTTAAGGGATGGCCAGACCTGCAGACTCTGCCTTGGTGTTGTGTTTGTCCTGGGCCCTGTATCTGTCCTGCATCCTGTTTCTGTTCCTTTGCTGACCCTGCCTGATCTGAACCGCTGCTGACTTCTCCTGCTCTGATCCCGGCTCGCTCCTGACCATCCCTCTGCCTGACCCTCTGTACCACGCTGCTTGCTACCTGTTCTGATCCCTGGCTTGTGACCCTGACCATCCCTCTGCCTGACCCTCTGTACTACGCTGCTTGCTACCTGCTGAACCTGGCCTGTGACCCCGACCAATCTCCGCTTGCTCCCCCTGTACCTACCTGCCCTATTGATATTGACCCGGCCTGCCTGACGACGCTTGCTTGTATGTACTGTTATCTGTGGGTGGTTGGTTTGGTTTGTTTGCACTGTATTATGTTTTAGTATTGCACTGCGTTTATGTTTGTATTGTTAGTGTTAATAAATTATATTGTTTATCACATATCTGAAGTCTGCGTTTCCCTGCGTCAGTCACACACCTCTGGTCACACCCGGGAGCCCTGACAGCTAGCTTCTGTTGAGATGTGGGGAAATGGAACTCCGTTACCCAGGAATGATCACACGACACTCTCAGGTTGCTGTTGGAATTCACATAGAGGAAGTTTTCATTCTCAGCCTCTGGTTTTATTACAAACACACACATGCCTCCCACATGAATAAGATCAATCCCCTCCCACAGAACAATGCAATGGGGAGTGCCTATACACAGGATGTACATTCCGATTGGAGCATAGCCTTTCCTTATATATCTATCTATCACTGGTCCTCCCCCATGAGCCCTCTGAGGTCAGCAGACTTCCTCCCCTTCCCCCCTTGAGCCCTCTATGGAGAGCATATTTCCTGTCCTAGCTCATGGTGGTCTGTAAATTCTCTGTACAAGCATTCCCTAGGTTAAACAGTGTCTGTATCTGGATGGGCCCGATACGATCTTTATTAAAACACATCCATCCAGATACAGTTTCAGGTTGGTAATGGCTTGTAAGATATGCATAAGCCTACACGGAGAGTTTGTACTGCTTGGCGCCTTGCGGCACGGAGTCCATGTGGTACTATGCTGCTGATATGTGGATACAGGCCCGCGGCCTACCGCCGGAGGCATTCGTATCGAATGCCGTGGTGGTATACACGCCGGTCTATAAGCGCAGATCTGCCATCTCATCCATTACCGAGCTGAGTACTGTAATACATACATTGTACATGTGCATGGCCCAATTGCAGCCTTCAGAGCTTTAATTAAGCCACACGAGAGACATATGAATAACACTCATATATGACACATTTAAAGTTCAACCAACAATACAAAATTTCCATGACATCACTAGCCCCGACCCCGCTGAAGTTGGAACAGAGGAAGTCTAGGGAGCAGGGGGACAAGAGCGCCAGAGGTAATAGTAGTAATAGACCAGGCAGGTACCGTGGATTGCCAGATGCACAGCAGAGCCAGGTTTGTAGCTAGGACACAGGACTGGAGCGGAGTCGTAGGATAGCCAGGGTCATTTCAGTCGGGCAGCGCGGTACAGGATCAGGAGGAAAAGCCAAAGTCAGGAACCGGAGGCAGGAGAGTACTCAGAGTCAGGTCAGGAACAAGCCGGGTCAGCACCAAAGGAATCGCACAAGGAACAAGCAGGACACAGGGGGGAGCTGAAGACCAGTCAGCACTTATTCTGGGCAGAGGCGCACCTTAAATAGCCCATCTGGTGCCACTCTTTGCCGTGTGCGTGCATGTGTGCGATCGTGCATTCCTGTGCCCCTGCGCACAACCGGCAATTCTTCTGCGGGATCTCTTTCGCGCATGCGCGTTCTCGATCGCGATTCCCCTTGCGGAAATTCTCGTACAATTTAACAGCGTGTCTTGGCCAGACAACAAAGCACACATCCTCAACTTTGGATTGACTGAGTTGCACAGAATTGCAAAATATACTTTTAATAATCAGTTTGAAGACAAAATTGACCTGTTAGAAGCAGAGTGGGCTGACCTAAAACTCTCCATTCAAAATGGACTCTCTTTTAATGAGACTGAAAAGATTGAATCAGCAGAAAGAGATTCAGCAACATACTCCCTCTGGTCAATTTCTGTGCCATACTTCCCCCAACAGCCGCCTCATGTGAACGTGGCTTTAGCTACCAAAACAGAATAAAGATGGTCTATTGTTCATCACTGACACTGGAGACTTTGGATGACCTTTTGATGATTGCCGTTAATGGACCACCACTAAAAGATTACAATCCAAACACAGCCATTGATAAGTGGTATTTTTCATCAGAAAGGGGACAAGGCTTGGTCCTGCTGTACAATGAAAACCATAGCAAATCTTGATGTGAAACTGGCTTCCTACTGCTTTTTGTCATCCAAAAAATTATTTTTTGGTGTGTTTTTTTCTTCATGGAATAGATTGGTCCCGCTGTACAACACAAACCATGGCTGCTCTATTAGCACATCTTTGTTAAAATGTTTACTATTGTTATGCCATGTTTTTTGGCATCTAAATAAGCACTTTTTTGTTTTTTCTTAATGCACTACTTCTCTAAGCTCTCTTTTAATAAGATGCTGGAGATAAAAAAATGCAAAATGTTTACTATTGTTATTTATTTTCTGCAATGTTTTTTGGCCATCAAAAGAGGCACTTTTTTCTTTTTTCTTAATGCCACACTTTTCTAAGGTCTCTGCTGGAGATAAAAAATACAACATGTTTACAGTAACTAATATTCCATGTTTTTTAGCATCAAAATAAGCACTTTTTCTTATGCTATACTTATGTAAACTAAACTTACATCTTTTAAAAGAGACTTTAGTTACTAAAAAGTCTTTTTTTAAAGATGCAGGAGATAAAAAAAAAAAATACAAAATGTTTACTACAGGTTAAAGCTGTAAAACTTGATATTTTAATTGCACCCTATTGCTATTAAGCTATTACTGTTATGTTTAAATTGACATAATAAAGCTATGTTATAATTGCAGTTTTTTATATTTTGGACTCTTTATTCTAAAGAAAAATTTAATTTCAGAAGCTTTAAGGGGCGTGGTTGGGGGCGGACCTGTGCAAGGTTGGGTGGGGCAACTGGTGGAGAGTAAGGTTTGTGCCTGACTAGTAGGTCTAGACTCGAAATTTTCTGTTTCAATATTTTTATTAAGAAAGTTTTGATTTTTAAGAATATAGCAAGCTCAAAATACGCCCTCACAGGGGCAGAGCAGAACAATAACATATAAACAGGGACATCCTGCTGACTTGTATTAGTCAAATAACAAAAACTCCGATGACATCAAGAAGGGACGGCAAATAGCCGAGCCAAATAGCAGCAGTAATCCAACATAATATTGGAAAAAAGAGAAAAGAAAAGAAGTTAGAAGAAAAGAGAAAATAAAAAACGAAAGGGAATCAGAAAGAAAACATGAAAGAAGGGAAACTAAAGGGATCACGGATCTGGGGCTAGCACCAGCAGCGACTATGGGAGGCCATAACTAGTAGGAGGCAGGGATAGTAAGGAATAGTGTATTCAAGGTTCTCAAACCTTAAGGAATCTCGGATGAGAATCATGAAGAATGCTAGAATGCTCATTGTACAACATAGCATTCATCCGAGTCCTCACCCCTTGAAAGACTATCGAAGGGGTTCTCCAAGCTTGAGCTATAGTACGTTTAGCCGAAATTAATAGGTAGGATGCCAATTTCTGTTGAGGCCTAGACAGACCCAAAATTGGGCAATGCAGGAGGGCCACCCTTGCATCCCTACAGACCGTCATATGAAATAGCGTTTGAAGCAAACCGAAAACCCTAGACCAGAAGCTGATCAATCGCGGGCACGACCACCAAATGTGCAAGACGTCCCCACGTAGACCACAGTTCCGGAAACACCTATCTCCGCCAGTCAGATTAAAGTGAACAGTCCGTGCCAGGACCCAATACCACCGTAGTAGAATTTTGCAGGCTGCCTCAAGAGTGACTGTATTACATGAACATTTCGCCACCATCCCCCAGGCCTTACACCAATCCTCTGCCGCAATCGAAACACCAAGATCTTGCTCCCACTGAGAAACATAAGAAGGTGCGATGGGGAAGACCTACTGTTAATGAGGCATATATTACAGAAATAAGGCCAAGGGACCCTGGGGAATGCTGACAAGTGTGCTCAAAGGGAGTTTTGCGGTAAGAATATGTAGCGGTACGATGGAGGGATAGGATCCAGTGGCGCAATTGCAAATACCGATCATATTCCCGTTGCGGGACCCCCCTGGATTCTTGAAGAGACTCCCAAGATGGAAGCGTATGAGTGCTCAGAAAATGGTGTACAATAACAAAGCCATGGGAGGTCCACCAAGAGAAAGAAGAGGGATGTTCTAGGCCTGGCGGAAATAAAGGATTATGAGTGATCGGCAAAAAGGGGTAGGAATAACTAAATCAAATTCCCCAAATATTTAACAGAATCCCAGATTCTCAAACTGTGAAGCATAATAGGGCTCAAATCCACATACCCACAATGGAACATCAGTCGTGGCATGAAGCATAGACAACTGGGAAATCTCAGCCGCCAAATAGTATCTAGAAACGTGTGGAGCTCCCAAACCTCCCTCTAGTCTATGGGTATACAAAGTGGCTCTAGGCACTCTGGGACATTTACGAGCCCAAATAAAACTGAGAATCCAGCTCTGTAGTACACAAATGAATAGGGAGAGTACGGAAAAAGCATAAGATCTTCGGTAGAATAGT